ATCAATCCACATTTGATTTGAGTTTATCTTTAAATGGTAATTCAATTGAAGAGTCACTCTATTTTTTTTTTTAAGAGCAGTAGTAGTAATTCTAGCGATCGACTCGTTTTTTTCAAATTGTTTTTCATTATTCCCCTTTCTATGATAAACCTACCCTCTATTTTGGTGCCTAAATGATCCTATTTCTCTATCTTTATATATATATATATATATATATATATATATATATATATATATATATATATATATATAGGTAATACTTCTCTCATTTAACATGAGAGAAGTTTTTTTCCTACACTAATAAGAAATGTGAAGCCCACAATATAAAGAAAAATAAAAAAGAAAATAAATTGTATGCACATATTTTTATATCTAATTAATATGAGATAATTATCTTCTACAACTCGATAAAATAATTTCCCATATATATATCTTCGTTTACACTATCATTAGGTCTGGTCGTAGTTAATGGCCAATGGATGAGACCTTGAAAGTAGATAACTCTTAAAGTTAGAAATTAATGTTGGTTGCTAAGTTGGGGCTATCAACGGTAGGGTGTTGTAGGTTTGCAGGCTCAAAATGCGGCCCAAAAGGTGTATTATGGGCCTCTACCCTTTTGAATTCAATTATTATAAGATTTATTTTTGCTGCGATTAATTAGATAAGTTATTTAAACTAAATCTAAAATAATGTCATTTTGAGATAAAAATTAAAATATTTTTGAATTATAATTTATTTTAATATTATAATAATCTTTTTTATTGTAATTTTTTAATTTTTTAATGCACAATAATATCGTTTCTAAAATAAATATAAACAACTTATCCACGTTTCCTATAGGAACCTTAAAACCTAATTATAAATGTTGCAGGTTATATAAATAATTTCCGAGGTGATATATAGCGATTTCTAGATGTTAATTTAATTTTGATATAATTGATTTTGGCAACGGTTGAGTAAGGAAGGATTGTCCCTTAGGCACTTTAGTATAAGCACAAAGTTTGGAATTCCGAAAATTGATATTGATTATCTTATTTATCCATATTTGATATAAGTATTATTAAAATATTTTCATGAAAATGAAATTTTCAAGAAAATTTTTTGAACCCAAATGCTATTAAAGAATATCACCAGGAGAGTAGCATTCTTCAATTCCCATGGGAAAATTTTACACAATTTTTTTTATAACATTTTCAGTAATATTTTAGCCTATCAAATAATTTTTTATTAATATTTTCAGAAAATTCATTTTTTCAGCATATTTTTAGAATAAAAAAATTTATCTTATATCAATCGCCATTTAATCTCATATAAATGTTTACATGAAATCTCATTCAAACTTAAAAGAAATATAGTATTACAAAAAAAAAAAAAAAAAATTAGTTGAAATCGTGGTCCCTCACAAATTTAAAAAAGATCCACATCAGTCCCTCAAAAGAACTAAAATGGGTCCATTTTAAATTTTATAGGGACTGACCAACTAATTTTTTTTTTAAGAGACTAAAGTGAAAACCAGATTTTCTGATAGTGACTAAAAAAAGTATTTACTCAAAAACAAATAAATAAAGGAAAAATATTTTCTCACGTTACATAAAAATTTAATTCTCATGTTATCTTATGTTGTTATCCTTCGATTTGCGTGTAATTTTTTTTTTAATAAATATGAGACCCACACCTAATTGAGTCACAACATGAGAATTGAAATTCAATTTTTATGTAAAATGAAAAAATCAAATCCCATAAACAAACTCAATAGAATTGTAATTAACTCGAGTGATAAAAACGTAATTCGGTGATTCACCAAAAAAAGAAAAACGTAATTCGGTGAAGATGAACAAGAACGCGAACATGTACCAAAAAAAAAAAACATGAACACGAACATGTGATTTTCATAGTTCCACTACCTCCCTCCTTGTACAGACAGACAGACATTCTCAAATCTCAACCTTTAAAACTCAAAACACAGGCAAATGTTACTTAGCGCGTTGATCTCCATCACCGTTCTATTCACAGTCACTTCACCAGCATCTCTCGTTACTCCCTGTCTCTAAGGCAGAGGATCGAGAAAGAAGCCCCATGATTTGTTACTTGGAAGAAGCCCCACTCCTTGCATGCACTCCATAGCTCTGAGAAAGAACGGTTTTCCATGCCGTTCTTCTTCAACCCAGCACACAACACCGAAATCAAGCCTTTGGACGAGCTGATTAATGAGTCAAAAAACCCTTCAAATGGGGCAAGTTTATTATCCGGAGAATGAACAGCACAAGTGTATGTTACACTTACATACTTGTGCAAATCATTTAAATGAGATTAAGGGTAGGGGGAATCCGATTTACAACTACTGGTTATTTTGATGGCAAAGTTTGAATAATATTTCATATTCAAGTACTAGGAATAAATAGTAGCAAGAAAATTGTTACACTTATATACTTGTAAATCAAAAGAAGTAGTAATTAGTATAATATAAATTTGTTCATTCTTCATATATAAAGAAAATTGGAAAGATTCTTCAAATCTGATTATGTACTCACCCTTCTACTTCTCATAATTTTTTTTGACTCCATCATTTAATTTTGAGTAGATTTTTGTAATTTTTTTTATATGTTACCCAATTAATTTACCTCAAAAGTGATAAACCTCTTGGCTCGAATCACTCTTACCCAATTGATCAAGAATTTGATTGCCAATGCATCCAGTATTCATTGGTCCAAAGCGGTGAGAAATTTATTCTCTTTAACCAGAAATATGGAATTCAAGCCCTGAAAATTGAAAAAATAATTTGGGAGAATTGTACTTGAGAATCGAATAAGTAGAATAATAGGTAGATATATAAAAAAAGCAGTGATATTAAAACAAGCTCGACCTGGTCGGTCGAATCGGTGGAACCGAATCCTAGACTTCAACCGATTCAGTTCAGTCAATTAACCAACCATGCATGTAATCCGTTCAAAAATTGGGTTCAACCATGTTAACCTGATCTTGGCACTTCAGGGAAAGAAAATGACATGTTAACCACTAAATCAATTTTTTTTATTGTTATATTACTTTTATGGAAAATCTACTTCTCATGTTGCTGTAAAAAAAACACATTATAACTATATACTTCGGATAATACATAATTATAATGTTAAATGTATTTTTTCTCTCTTTATTCAGAAGTTATCTATTGACATGGAAAAAGAGAAAAAACAATTTTCTTATTATAACTATGTATTCTCTGGAATACATAGATATAATGGGTGATATAAGTAGATTTTATTTTACAGTGAGAAAAAGGGAATCTACTTTTATTTATATATTACTTCAATTTAAACGATTCGACTACTGAATCACTCGTTGAACCAATAATCTATTGATTAGGGGTGAAAGTGGATTGAGCTGGGTCGAGTTTTGTCCCAAAAAGTTTAAGGTTATGTCAAAAAAATTTAATTTGACATGGCTCGATAACATAGTACGAGTCTAACTGTTAGTCTGATCTGATCTATTTAAAAAAAAACAAATTGCCTGACCTATTCCATTAGCTTGTTAATTTTTAACTTTCAAGCAGAACATGAATCAACTTCACAAAATACTTAAATTTTGTTGTTAAAACAAAAACCACAATTTCAACGTTTGAACAAAACCATGAATCACAACAACAACAACTTATCACATTCTGCGTTGAAGTCACTTTCATAAGTAAGATGCTCAAACTAAATAATATATCTTTTATCATATCCAACAAATCAATTCATACTATGTAAATTAAAATAATTGCAAGAATCCAACAAATGCACCATGATGCTTGTAGTAGCCAAAAACTTCTCATTATCTTGTCTCTCGTGCAAATACAATTTCTAGGTTACATAAGTTGACAAACAATTTGTAAATGTAGAAAACAAAAAACAAAATTAAAGAATAGAAAATAAATAAATATTAAAAATAAAAAACTTTTTTATACTTTTTATTTTTTCTTCAAGCCATATTTATTATGTAGCCAATATCCACCGTATATTAAAGTTGAGATGATATCTTCAACCAAGTTAGAATGATAGACATCAATAACTCTTCTTCTAGCACTAAATATTGATCATGATGTTATTGCAGAGATTGATACAAATCTTACGTCACTCTCAAAGGTAGTATTGGTGGGGGATCGAACCTAGGTCTTTTCATTACCTATTTAGTTCAGATGCACCAACTGAACTATCATCATTTGATATTATTATGAATAATATTATTTTATTTTATTTAAAATAAATAATATAATATATATCAGCATGTAAGCTTATAGGTCGAATATGTAAAAAAAAATCTATAACTTACTTTCAAAATAATTTTTTTAAAAAACCTGAATCTATTCAATTTTTATTTTTTTTGGATTACATCTGGTATGTATTCCCACAGTCAATAGTTATGAAACTAATCTCTGATCCGGATTAACGCACAAAGTGATAAAGAGCTGGCTATGAAATATTTTTCATTCACAAGAGTTGGAGTTCAAACCCCCAACCAATTACTTAAGAGACGAGATGTTATGCAGGACGCCCACCCACGAGGTTTGAATCTATTATATTTAAGTATATGTAATAAGTCGAAATTGACTGATATAAGTTAAGCCGTACGCTCTGGAACGACCCGATTCACTTTTACCCGTGCTATTTACTAAAGCACCGACGCAATCGATGACCGTTTTGGATTCAAAAAAATAAAATAATGGTTCACTGTGGAGCCAACTAAAGTCAGGTGTCAGAGGTGATAATTGATAGCTGTATCACTTCACATTTCATTTAAATTTGTATTCACGTGCAGCAGTTATAATAAAGATGACGAATGCAGTACAAAAAACACAAACAAACTCAATAGAATTATAATTAACTCAGAGTGATAAAAAAAAAAGTAATTCCGTGAAGATGAGAACACGAACACGAACATGTGATTTTCATCCTTCACTACCTCCATCCTTGTACAGACAGACACTCATTCTCAAATCTCAACCTTAAAACTCAAAACCCAGGCAAATGTTACTTAGCGCGTTGATCTCCATCACCATTCTATTCACACTCACTTCACCAGCCATCTCTCGTTACTCTTCCCCTTCACCCCCAGCCGCTCCATTTTCCGAATCTCCCGACGAATGGCTATCCGCACGCGCCACCTACTACGCCTCCGCCGACAACCCCAGGGACGCGGTGGGCGGCGCGTGCGGCTACGGCGACCTCCTCAAGGCCAGTTACGGCATAGCCACCGCCGGCCTCAGTGAAGCACTCTTCGGCCGCGGCCAGATCTGCGGCGCGTGCTTCGAGCTCCGCTGCGTTGAGGAGGAAACACTCTTCGACCGCCGGTGGTGCATCTCCGGCACCTCCGTCATCGTCACCGCCACGAATTTCTGCGCCCCCAACTACGGCTTCGACGCCGAGAGTAACGGCGGGCATTGCAACCCTCCAAAGCAGCATTTCGTGGTACCCATTGAAGCTTTCGAGAAGATCGCAATCTGGAAGGCTGGGAACATGCCTGTAAAGTATAGAAGGTAATCCTTCCCCTGCTCTATCAGTTTCTTTGTTAATTATGATTATGTGATAATTAATTATTATTGCAATGTTTATATAAGTATGTTGCTAATTATAGGATCTCTATGATAAATTATTGTCTATAAAGAAAACTTAATATGGTTTTCTACAAGTGCGTTGCTACTTGCTATATAGCCTATAAGGAAAGTGAATGGTTTAATATTCGTTTGTTTTAAGTTTTACTATAACATTTTAAAATTTATCAAGCATAGGTAATAGGCTTTTTTTTGGCCATAATAACGGAAGAAAGGAAACATTTTATCCCATTGATTCAAAATCCAAATAATTTGTCAAAATAATGCAGCGAGACGTTAATCGTTTAACTCACATAAGGGGCGCGACTTTTACAAAAATATGCTCTTACCACGTGTTGCCTTGTCGTGATTCAACATGGATTCCACACAAGTCGTATATGGAATGATGCGCAATATGTAGTTGCGCACTACATCTAGCACAAATTATGTACCATTTCATGCGTACAAGTCGTATATGGAATGATGCGCAATATGTAGTTGCGCACTACATCTAGCACAAATTATGTACCATTCCATGCGCGACTTGAAGGTTCCATTGCTTTATTTTGACAAAATAGTTGAATATTAAATCAATGAGATAAAATATTTCCCTTTTCACACAAAAGGGGTCAAAAGGCATAATTACTTTCGGTACTTTTTCGTTAGAGAGTATTATTTTTGCAATTGTGATAGAAATAATATTTCTCCCACATACACAAAAAAACATTCTCTCTCATTCCATCAAAGCATTCTCTTTCATCTCTTATTGTGTCTGTGGCGGGGAGTATTATTTCTGCCACAACTTCGGAAATAATACTCCTTTTTCGTTAAGAAGATATGGATAGCAAAGTAATCTTTTTGTAAAATGAACAAATAGCACTTGGAAACTTGGTCATTTTTATTCTTACTACTACTTATTTTGATGTTATATTTGTGTTTGGAGCAGGATAAAGTGCAGAAGGGAAGGGGGAATCCGATTTACAATTACTGGTTCTGGTATCTTCGTTTCTGTGCTGATCAGTAATGTAGGTGGCACCGGAGACATTGTTGCTGTGAAGGTTAAGGGTTCAAGAACTGGTTGGCTTCCTATGGGTCGGAACTGGGGCCAAAACTGGCATGTAAGTGCCTTGCTACAGAATCAACCTCTTTCATTTGAGGTTACTAGTAGTGATGGGATAACAGTTACATCTTATAATGTTGCTCCCAAGGATTGGAGCTTTGGACAAACTTTTGTAGGGAGGCAATTTGAGTCTTAAAAAGCATAAACGAAGAAAACTTGCTTCAAGGGACCATTCTCCTCCCAAAAGAAAGTTTTACCCTTGATAGGATTGTCAAGCACATGCTTGATTTTTCGTTCCTCTCAACAAGAATGTGCTGTGCTATGCTTTATTGATAGGCAATTGAGACATATCCTATTCCCGAATCCGAAAGAGTAGAATAACAGGACGGTACCAAAAGAAGTTATGAGCATTCCATATAGGTTATTCTGATAATATACCAAAATATTTTGGAATATTTTCCTACCTTTTAATAATTTTTATGAAAAATGTGACTCCTATCACCACCTCATCATATGTATGAATTTATGACATAGTGAAGGCAGAGCAAGAGCAATGTGTTTAACATAGTGGTGTCACAGTCAAGTTTCAAGAATTTAGTGCTCACACTCTGGAATATTGACGTCTAATCTTATTTAAACTTTTATTTAAAAAAAAAAGAGTCCCAGAAAGCTATTGGCAGCTTAATTAATTTCATTTCTAGGTAATGAAGAAGGATTTAACATCACAAACTAAGAAGGAATACAATGACATTAAACTGTGACAGTGAGGATAATAACCATGAATCATATTAAATACCAGTCGCCTATCAATAAAGTTTTTTTATCCATGCCATTACCAGACAGATAGCAAATTATGCTAAACTTTTACCCGAAATATTATCATGAAGGTGCCAGGTCTAATAGTTTGTCCTCCACTTGCAAGGCATTGATTAATGAGTTTAATATTTCTCATGTTCTAGGAAATAAAATTATCTGATATACACACATAAAAGTGTATGAGATCATATGAAAAGAAGAGAGAAAAAAAAATGAGTCTCATACACTTTTATGTGTGTGTGAAAGATAATTTTATCTTCTGCAATATAAGAGACATTAAACCCTTGATTAATGAGTGAAAATGTGAAATAAAGCATGTCTGATATGCCTCGTAGCAGAAACTGATGCTTGTTTCTGCTCTTTTCTCTATACTAGTCAGTTTTTCCAAGAAATTAGAATTAACGAAAAGAAATAATAATAATAAGGAAAAATATTTCTGCAGTTACTGCAGATAAGTCATCTGCATTTATTCTCAAAACGACGTCGTTTTGGTATTGAAATCTTAAAAAATTATAAATATAAAGATTATTATAACCCTGAAATAAATTAAAATTACAAAAACACCATGATTTCCGCCCAAAATGACGTAGTATTGGATTTACTGCAGATAAGTTATCTGCAGTAACTGCAGAAAAAACAAACCCATAATAATAATAATATCTTAAGTTTTCTGTTGCAGTTCAACTATTAGTGGGTTGATATGATCTAACAAATCAGCCATCTTTTAGCATCTAATTTGATTTTGTCATAAATAAAGGTTAAAAAGAGTAGTAGTCCTAATTCTAGCCCCCTAAAAAATGTTTGGCACTCGCTGGAAATCAAAATACCAGTACTAGGATAACATTTTCTAGTTTTATGCTAAAGAGCTGTAATGTTATAATTTTTAAATGTTATATATTCACGAGATTAAAGAAAAGAGGGGGAAATTAGCTAAGGTCACCTAGTCCTTAATCTTGCTTTTTCAAAGAGATTCCAGGCTTTAATCAAAGGCTTTTTAATTATCACAAATTTATTACCATTTATATTTTTGCCAATTTATTTCAGGTCATGACTTATGATAAGTAACCAACTTACTATGAGACCAGTTGTATTGTGGCTTAGGCCTGGGCTTAAATTAAATACCAAACGGTTACATTTCAATCCAGTTTCAGTAAATATCACCAAGACGCAATCCCAAGGGCCAAGACCCAAAAAGAGAGGGAGGAAAAGAAAATATCTCCTAATCTTACTCCTTGGGTATCACCCAGGTCAAAAAATTAATATATTATTATTTAAATAAAAAATTATGAAAATATAGCAGTTTGAAATCAATTTATGAATTTATAGCAGTTAGTCGCGCCTCAGATAGCCGCGACTCAAATGCAAGGATGTGGGCTTTTTTACCCTTATAACCTTTAATTAATAATTAATTATCAATTTGACCTTCATTTGAAACCAATTCAAAAATTTAACCCCTTCAGAAAACATAACACTAATCTGCCCCTGTTTGACCGTTGACCATGAAGCCTACCCGGGTACACCCTTCCCTACCCTGGTATTTTTTGAAATTTTTTATCTACCCGGGTAGAGAGGGGTGTACCCGGGTAGAGTTTTTGAATTTGGAAAAATGGTTGAATTAGTTACCCGGATAAGAAGGGTTGTACCCGGGTAAACATCCAGAGTAGCGTTTTTATATAACCGAGATGCTAAAAAGTTTCTTTTTCCAATTCATATTCTCCTCGGATTTATATTTCTATCAGGTTAATGAAAACGCAAAAAATTGAAGCACCTTCTGATTACAGAAAACAAAATGAAATTAGTAAAAAATTAATACAACATTACCATGTAATTGTATCCCCTAGTTTCTCTAATCTTCCTCAACATCATTTGGATTCAGCTTCCAGTATAAGAGTCCCAATTCTGCAAAACTCACCATTTTTCTGCAACGTCACAACTAAGTAAAACTATAGATAGATAGAGAGAGAGAGTAATGACCTGCTAATTGGTTGATGGAAACAAATTCATTAGGGCTGCCATGGCGAGGAAGCCTTGGATCTTCGTTGCTATCGTCCATGAACCATGCCTGTCACAGTTTTTTTCATTTATATAAAAACGCTACTCTGGATGTTTACCCGGGTACAACACCCCTTACCCGGTTAACTAATTCAACCATTTTTCCAGATTCAAGAACTCTACCCGGGTACACCCCTCCCTACCCTGGTATTTTTTGAAATTTTTTATCTACCCGGGTAGAGAGGGGTGTACCCGGGTAGGCTTCATGGTCAAACAGGGGCAGATTGGTGTTATGTTTTCTGAAGGGGTTAAATTTTCGAATTAGTTTCAAATGAAGGTCAAATTGGTAATTAATTATTAATTAAAGGTTATAAGGGTCAAAAAGCCCAAGGATGTGCCCTACATAGGCGCAATCTGTGCAAAGTCGCACCCCACACAGGCGCGATCGGTCGCGCTCCATCCAAGCGCGATATTGCACCATTCACAAGCTGACATGTGGCACAAAAGTCAATATTTTGACCGTAAAACTTCGAAAGGCCGTAACTTTTGACTCGAGTGTCCGAATCAGGTGATTTTTTTTATTCTTCATAATTTTTCGAGATCTACGCAATGACATCTCATTGTAGGGGATTCAGACAAAAAAATTTCAATTTTTTTTCGAATTTAAGATATTTTACCGTAAAACTTTGGAAGACCATAACTTTTAACTCGAGTGTCCAAATTAGGCGCTCTTTTTTTTATTCCATATAATCAAAAAAATTATGTGGGAAGATTGAGCTCATGTAATCGACATGAACTATTACTCAGGTGTCCACAGTATGTATTTTTGAAAAAATGATAATATAATATAATGTGGTCCCATTTTTTGGGAAATTTATTTGACCAAATCCCCTTTTCGAATTTGCCAAGCGTAACTCTTGATATGCCTCCAGCATATATATGATTTTAAGCAAAAAAGAGCTAGAATTTTGATCAATCTTGAATAAAAAAGTACATAATTGCTATTAAATTGATAAATCTTAATCAGGTGCCTTGTCATTGATTTTCTTATATTTTTGTAGGAAAAAGTACAAGGAAAGGGGCCCAATTAATAGCAAAGGGAAGACACAAGTCTGAAGCCATCGCGCTACTAGCGCGGCACTAGCGCTAGCAGCACCAGCATCATCTTTCAACACAGTGCAACCGCGCTATCAGCGCGAGACCCGCGCTAGTAGTGCGAAGCTACTGCCTCCAAACAAAATTCCCACACTATCAGCGCCAATCTGGCGCTAGTAGCGTGGGAAGCACGTGACAATTTTAAATCCTACATAAAACGATATTTGGAGGGGATCTCAATGGGAAGATATGTTCAGGATTTCAAAACAAGGGAAAAAGTCTATAAAAAGGAGACTAAGCACCCTTAGGAAAGCATATTTGGTTGGAGAGAATTGTGAGAATCAAAGAATTGAGAGAATTCTTGGAGGCTCACATTGGAGATCAGGATTCCGAAGAACTTGAAGATTGAAGACCATTGATCTTCCTTCTTCATCTTTTTCTTTTCTTTCTGTTTTATGAATTCTTTTTATTATTTTGAATTGCTAAAGTTAGATATGTCTGGCTAATTTCTTTTTATAGTTGGGATCACGGACCCAACGTGAATCCTTTATAGTTTTTAAATTGCTTTTATAATTAATTTAATTTATTTAGTTTTATTCTTCTTGTGTTAATTCTTCCACATTCTTTCTAGAATTGATCGCTCTATTATAGGGTTTTGAGGGTTAGAGCGCACAATAGGAATATTGAGATTTTAATTCTGACAAGGGTAGAATAACAATCTGTGCATGATCTAGACATAGGCTTACATAGATTGCAGACTTTTAAATTCATTTGCTTAATGCTTGATTCAAGAGAAATTACTAGGACACTAGGATCCTAATTGGGTTAAAGGGTTGAATACACTAAGACATTAAGGTTCAACTATTTAATAAATTAATCGGTTATAAAATTCAGTTTAGAATTACAAAGGAGGATCGGAGGTGGAGTGCATCCTGACTGCAGTTCCTTTTACAATCTTATTACTCATATTTTCTTTGATGTTCTTGATCTTTTCTTGAATGCGTTTGATTATTATTGTCTTTAAGTTTCTGTTAACAAATACATTTTTAATTAAACTGGGTTTTCCAAATTAAGGAAAATAGTTAAACTAATATCTGGTGCATTAATCCTCGAGGGAATTATATTTACTTATCATCTTATTACTTGGAACAATCGGTATACTTGTCGATTTCGCAACAGCTCTCAAAAAGTTATGTAGAATAAAAAAAATCACCTGATTTGCACATCCAAATCAAAAGTTATGGCTTTCCGAAGTTTTATAGTAAAATATCTTCAATTCGAACAAAAATTGGA